AGCTGTTCGGAAATACGATTCCATCACTCCGTGACAGGGATCTTCGATGGAACATCTCAGCACCTTCAAAGGGGTCACCTGGCTGGAAGCTCCTACACCACTAAGGGACCTCCAAACAGGACACCCCTTTTTCAGGTCCAGGGCGAGGGTTCTTGGGAAGGCCTGGCCAACATTGTCCAAGCGAGTGTGTCTATGCATGTTCCCCCTGTGGATGTCTTCATGTCTATGACCCCAAAAGACCACACGAGGGTTCCCAGTTCTTGATGGAATCTGAAGACACCACGTGCACCATCAAACCCCGAATCACGACATATGGCTGTGGGTCAAACACCTGGAGCTCCAACTCTGGGAGAATTGTTTTCCCACTCAATTGAGGTTCGCGCTTCGTGCAGCTGGAGGTGGTTTTTATCAGGAGGTTTGGAGGATTGGAGGATTGGCACATTGTTTCCCACTCAGGTTCGCGCTTCGTGCACATCCCAGCCTGGGAGATCAAGTTGGGAAGAACCACTCCTGCACGTCGGCTGGGCGCTAAGGGAGGAAAACAAGCACCGGAAGGATAGAGATTTGAGTGAAGAGATGGCTACACCGTGCAGGTTGTAGTTCAGACTGAAATGGGCTGGTCGAAAGCTTGCAGATACTCTCCACCTCATTTTGTTGGTGCTTGTGGCTGTCTCACTGGCTGTCCCTTATATACACATGATTATACATGGCAATGGCATGTGAAACACCAGCAGTCTGGGACTAAAATCGGCAGAACGACCGCATCCCAGAGGTCGGAGGCATAATTAAGACCTTCAGACTCTGTTCGCCCACCCTCCCTGCCTATCCCCCCCGCCGCGCGTCCACCTTCGCGGGTGCCGCGACGTCCCAACCCCTCCGTCGTGGGCACCGCGTCGCCCGCGCGTCGCCCCGCGCGCGTCGCCGAAGGGCGCGATCGAGGCGGCGGTCGCCGCGCGACAGACGCCGAGAGGCCCAGGAAGGCCGAGAGCACCGTCATGAAGTACAAGGCTCCCAAGGCCCCCGAGAGCCTCGGCGTTTCGCGAAAGCACACGTGGGGTGTTCGCCGGTGCACGCCGGTTTCTTCGCGAGTTCGCACGCGGGTTCGGACGGAGCTGCCGGGGGCTCGTGGCATTCCTTCGGTGGTTTTGGTTTGGATCTCCGGAGCGAATTGCGAACCCGAAAAAAGAAAGAAAGGCGCGAGCTATAAGCATATCTGTTTCTGCGGGATGTCAAGGGATGTCAGGGGGTCCTTCCTTTTTTGGGATGAAAGCCTCGGTGTCTTCGCTGCATACATCGCTGCATACATCGCCCGAACTCCACGAACCAATCGCCCTGGAAAGGTGAACCTTGAACCGTCGCCCCGTTAAACGGTTCGGTTCGACCAGAGCTGAGAGGCCGGTGAACACCAGAACCATACCCAAACACTCCATGGGACTGGCATATTTATAAATAGCTACATTGACCCCTAAAACCACCCCAATGTATAGGTAAATATGCCGTACATGGAGTGTCTAGGATAGGATTCTTGGTGAGAAACGCAGGCACAGAGTTCTTCGAAAAAACAGGGCCCACCCGGAAGATTCCCTGAAACCGTCCCCGAAGGAAAACCCAAACGAACTTCGTTGCATGAACCTGAAGGGTTCCAGCCAGTCTAGCCACCCCAGACAGACTTGCGACATATAGACTGCGGCACAGAAACACGACGAATTTGGGATGTCTCATCGACATCACTGCTGCGATGATGAAGGTCTCATCACCCAATTCCGTGGCCAAGATCATGAAGAAACTGGACGTGAGTCCTGCGGGGCACCAAAAACACAACGGTCGACCCAGGTCGGTCATTGACTTATTGCATATATATAGGCCTTTTTGGATACTCCCCAGTCCCCGCCAATCAATTGGCGGATGCTTTCTGAAGTCCTTGAAACACCTGCTTGATCTTTTAAGGGTGGAGGTCGATCTGGACCTCAAGACTTCTTCACTTTCTATCATCACAGAGGTCTTGAGCTTGACCCGAGGTCGTTCACTGTGCACTGATTGACATGATATGGCTGCCAGTCACAACCAGACCGACGGGTTGACCCACCTGGAAGGTCGTTTCTCTACAGATGGTGGACCAGGGCGATCCGGGCTTTGACCCATTATTCATAGCTCCCTAAAAAGGTTGAGGTGTAAAAGGGTGTCCAACCAACTGCCGTGGGTGCTGGTATAAATCTGTCAAGATGCAAAAAAGAGCTACTGTCATTGTTTTAACCATCCAGGAACACATCTTTTGATATTGAGACTTTGGAGGCCATCGCTTCTGTAGGTTGGAGACCATCGCTTCTAGGTTGGAGGCCATCGCTCGTGTAGGTTGGAGACCATCGCTTCTAGGTTGGAGGCCATTAATGCTAGCATCATAAGAGTTGCTATATACCAGCACCACCCAGTTCGGGTGGTCATTAGATGGAAAGTACATCTTCAGGGGGGTCTATAAACCACCCGACCTGGGTGCTGGTATATATATATACTTCATCTTTGGAAACTAACATCAGCACTAAGCCCGGAGAAACGGACCCCCCGAAGAGGTCGGCAGGACTGGTCGACCGCACCGGGGGTTCCCCCACTGGAGATACCTCGTTCAAACTGTGGAATGGGTTGATGTCCGACCTTGGGAGTATACCAACCAACCAACCAACCAACCAACCAAGTTCAAAGGCCCATGTATAGATCACAATCCCTACCCCCACCCCTGCAGTTCAGGGGATGAGCTAGGGTGTGGATCGTTAAAACACAAACGACAAACGAGAAACATGTAAAGATCCCAAGAATGTCCTGCTGGACTTTGGTGTCAGTCACTGTTAAATAGACAAGCTTCTTCCTCAGAACGACCCTGTCTTCAGGCTCCGTTGGACTGGTGAAATCGTTCTCAACCGCCATCCAGTCCTCTGTGATGTAAAGTTTAATACGCTACCATCCACCATCCAGTCCTCTGTGATGTAAAAAGCTACCATCCCGGAGGTGCATTCTTCTGGCTTCTGCTCCGCACACGGTCCACGGTCCACGCTCCGGCCCTCTTCGAGGCGCGGGTCCCCGCGGTCCCCGCGGTCCCCGCGCGCCGCGTCACCGTCACCGGGCAAAGGCGACCCAAACGAGTTCGGCCCGGAACCCACCAAGAGAGGTCAAGTAACCTTAGGACCCGTAACCTGGAGTACCTATGGGATAGTCTATAGGGTCACTCAACCTCTGTTGGTATGGAGGGCTCGGACCTGAATCGGGACGGGTCAACGGTCGGTCGACCTTCTCACCACCTTGCGGCCCTCGATGGTTTGGGACCCGGGCGAGGGCGAAGGAACGAAGTTTTGGATGCGGTCCTTCCCAGGGGTTCTTGGTCAAATGCCAATCAAAGGACCAGGCATTGGCTGCCGCCACATCGGTGGCCAAGCTTTGACTGGCCATGCTCTCGACGCCTCGTTGAGAGGGGGGAGAGGTCGTCGGGATGCAACACGGCGGAGGGTGGAAGCGGTGAGTGGCGGGAGATTACTGTATGCGGAGGTGATGATGCGGAGGTGTGGGCTTGGTTTTCGGAGAGAGGAGGAGGTTTTCAAGGAACTATATACGTACATGTACACAAGTATCTGTTTTTCAGGGGTCATGTCCCAGTTTCTAAGGTACTTGAAGACGGGTCCAGGTAGCTCTTTTCCTCTGGGGCTGGGGTCTTGAATCATGAGGGATCTCCTCTGGCGGGATGTGTTGGGGATCTCCAGGCGGTATGGGCGCCATCGTTTTGCGTGTCGACGAGTCACTAGTCTACGGGACCAAAAAGTGGAAGAGAGCGCCACAGTGGAAGCATCTTGCAACCCCAACATTCTAAAAATCTTTCATTGGAGAGAGCCTGTTTCTTGACTTTTTTAAATCAAGGATTCTGGCCTAACCATTCCGACCAGCCAGCACTCACAAGACGGCGGTGGTGTTTAGCCCCATTGGATGTGACAGGGGCACCCCGGGCATCCTCCAAGGTCGGCACCCGGTCTTGTGACTGCTGGTAGATTTGGTTTATAGGTTCTTTCCCTCAAGGCCCCAACTGGATCCTTCTTAGAAGACCGCCGCAGGTCTGAATAATCGATTTGGTACTACACTTGAATCACCGAACAACGAGGGAGACACTTAAGTGACAGGGGGGTGTTTTCCACGGGTCTTGTCTGATGGAATCTCGCTGAGAAACATGAGCAACCCCTTTCTCATGAATTTGCGGCTCCCAGGATCCGGGAAACAGTCACGCATCTTCATCCCTAGGTTCTTGAACGTAAAACATCATCCTGAGCAAAACCAGGTTCTTGCTAAGAGGGTCCGAAAGAACCAGAGGGTTCAACGCATCCATTTTCGGGTGCTGTGCTAGAAGCCTTTTGCATGACCTTTTTGCAGTTTTCAGATTGCCTTCTCCAGTCAAACTCTGTGAGCCACTCGCGGAACCATCCAGTGAACCGGACAGACTTTAGACTCTGCCGAGCCGCTGAAGCCACTTGAGGAGTTGCTCATCGACAAAAAGCCATTCGATGCCATGACGAGGTGTGACACGCTCCACACGTGATGAGGGAAAGCCGAGACACTTCTCACCAATGGCTATACGCGGCTGCGGCAAAGAAACCAATGCTGCCAGCATCAAGAATCAGGTGAAAAGAGGCTAAAAACAAAGGGGAAACATGTCTTGCATCTGGAGTGTCATCCCACCACTTATAGTGCTTCTTGGACGCTTCCAGGTTTTTTGAATGTTCCGGGCACTCCTTACTTACCTTACTTTACCCTCCAATGTAGACCCAGTTCCCATAAGTCATACCTATACCGGCCAGATGGCAACTTCTCTTAGCGTTTTTCGAAGCATCCCGTGCGACGCCAAGGGCCCCGGAGTAAACACATTTGACCACAACGAGCGGAGACCGAACTCGGTTTCAGTGAGAAGACCTTTTCGAACACCAATTCTTCCACAAAGAATGCTTTTCCAGGGTTTTTCGTCCAACGGCTTAAGATAACTTATCTACTTTCTTTGCCGGGTGTTGTAGTTTGTGGCTGCAACCTTCCAACTCCATCCGCCCCAGGGCGGGAACAACAAGCGCTTCTCGGCCCAGGTGCGTCTCCCGCCACAAGTCGCGCACATGACGCAGCGACGTGATGCGCGTGCCGTTGTAGCCTGAGCGGAGCTTCGAGCATGGCCCCTGGCTTCATCCGTTTCCGTTTCCAAAGGAAACTTCAACAGTTCCAAAGGTGACTTGCCTTCTACCGGTTCAGCCATCGATGGAGCGGAGCTCGGAGATGTGGCGAGCGAGGGACGCTGGAACGCGGAGAGGGAATCGTGGCCGGGCAGTGCCGGATTGGATTATTCTTCTTTGAACGGGAATTATTCCACCTGAAAAGAGGCGAGTTTGCATTACCCGAAACGTGGAATGACTCAAAGACTTCCAAAACCTAAGACCCACCTACATGTGCTGGTCTCCCTCTCCCGCCAGCCCCGTTCGACACATGGCAGAAGGCAGGGTCGCCGTTCAACGCCTCGCCTGCGGTCAACACTGAGTCGAAGCCCCAAACCAAATCAGCCAGTTGAGAGGGGTCTCCAGTGACCTGAAAAAAAAGGACCCTACTACTCAGCTACCTGTGGGAGAGTCGAACAGTCGGGTTCTTCATGGACAGTTTAGGAGCAGCCAGTGTACAGCGGCAAGAGAGTGTCGCGGTCGATTGATTCGCTGTTGTTTGCGCGCCGCGCAGCCGGTGGGTAGCTGGCATGTGCACTGTTTGTCATGTTCCCTCACACCGCTCGCCTCAAGACAAGCGGCGGACTGAGCAATGGCTGCTGAAATGGCTGCGTGACCGCAGCGACTCACTTTGGTTTCGACAGAGGACTTCGTGGTCCGTAACTTGGTGAACAGCACTCTGTTACCAACATTGGTAGCGGAGCGCTACCAGGGCGCTCCAAGGCACGATGCCTGGCGGGAATGGACCATCAGCCTCCCGGTCCTTTCACGACCTCTTCGGCTGCACATATATCCATCGAGACGATGCAAGACACCTACATCCCGATCTTCAACAATCGGGTCGCCGACTACAAAGAGTGGAGACAACGCATCTTGCTCTACAAGAAGAAGTTGGCCCTTCAAGGAAAAGAGAAGGAGTCCATCCTGAACCTCTTGACGAGCCTTCAGGGGACGGCCTGGAAGGAGGTGGAGCACATGGTGGACAAGGTCGCTGAGGCCTCGGACGGGTTCGATCAAGTGCTGAAGGCATTGGATTCCCCCTTCCAGTACGACGATCGTGTGGAGATGCCCCGGGCCCTCGAGCGCTTCTTCTACCGCTCTTGGCATACTGTTTGGAGCATCGCGAACAGCTCCGGGAGATCGAGAAGCACAAGGTGTCTCTGGCTGGATGCTTCTTCGTCGCAGCAACCTCACCCAAGAGCAGAAGCACCTCATCCAATCGCAGGTCGGCCCTGAGATGAAGATGGCAAAGGTTGAGGATGTGATGTACTATCTGCTGGGTCAGGACTACAAGACGAGGACCGACCAGCCAAAGATCTGGAACAAGAATGTCAAGGGCAAGGGACGTTGGCAACCGAGAAAGAGCCAACAGGCCTATGGTGCCGAGGACTACGACCCTGAATACGAGGAAGAGTTTGAAGACGCCTACGCCCGGCCGATGACGAACCCTATGAAGAGGACACCACCTATGAGGACTGAAGGCAGAAGGCAGCAGCAAACGCAGTCTTCTCAGCCGATGTGGACACCAGACTGAGGCGGGCCATGAACAGAAAATTCACAGGGCAACTGACCGTCTTTCACCTGGGAGACATGTGCTACTACTACCGTAATGCGCTCAAAAAAAAACTGCAAGTGGAATGTGGCCCCCACTCCAGCATCTACTGGATTGTGAAGTCTCGAACGCCTACAAGCCCACAATGGAGGAATGCCCCATTGACCTGAACTACCTGGCCAAGGACCGTGTGTCAAGCACTACCCATGGCACATTCCGAGACCGCCGGAAGAGGAACAGCAAGAACCCCCCTTGTGGAGGAAGCATACTGGACAGGAGCCCAACTGGCGATACAAGAAGGCCAGGAACGGGTACAAGTCCTTGAGAACACAGTCAGAACAAATCTCAAAGAAGAAAAAGGGCAGGGACGAGGTGTTCGAGCGCTACATGAGTGTGGCCAATCGACAGGCCAATCGAAAGTTTCTGCAAGAATGAAGTGTGGCTCTCTGATGAAGAAAAGAATGCAGACCCTGATCGCATCCGGAAAGCTCGCTTCATCCTGACCTGACCTGGAAGAAGAACGAGGACGGAACACCCAGAGCAAAGGCCAGACTAATCACACAGGGGTTTAAGGACCCAGATGCCCTATCAGGAGCCCTTTTTACGAATGCCCCGACTTTGACCAGGTTAGCCCGAGGCCTGATCTTATGCATCTGCCAACTCTACCGCTGGCACATGTTTACATCAGACATCACAACCGCTTTCCTCCAGGGCAAGAACTTTGACAAGGATTCTAACAGGGTGATTTGGATCAGACTTCCACGGGAGGCAAAGCAGCTCCTGGGCATGGAACCAAATGAGCCATCTGTGATGCTCCTCGTGCCTGGTATGAAGAAGCCACCGAACGCATTCCGCGTGTTGGGGAAGGAAACATTCAAAGACACCCTCTGGACCCATGCCTCTTCATGGTGTATCGACCACTACCTGCAGACCAACTTATATATGGATCCCACCGTTGAAAGAGAGCTGGCATGCATCTTTGGAATCCATGTCGTTGATTTGGTTGGCGGCAGAGACCTTCAGGACCCCTACTTAATGAGATCAAAGAGAAGCTCCAGAGTGTCTTCACGTTCCGTGAGTGGCAGGACGGGAATAATGTGGAGTACTGTGGAAGCCAAGAGGACTACATCCACAAGGTGAAGCCGATCCCTATATTGCCAAGGAACGCATGAGCAACCCGAGAACGCTCACTCTTGAGGGCAATGGCCAGCGACACAAAGTTTTCCACACCTTCAGGTAGCAACCTTACAAAAGGGGAAACAAGAACCTGCGCTGTGCCAAGGAGTATGCCGACGTGGGACCCCCTCTTTGCTATGTTTGCAAACTTCTTTCTGGACACCTCCAACGCCCTTGAGGAGGAGATTGGTGACTTCACGGCAACTATGAGCCACTTCAAGAACGAAGAACATTACATGATTGATTATGTCCTGATGATCTTTACGATCTTTGTCATTGGCATGATCACCTGGCTTCTTTGGAAGTGGTGGCAAAGCCCTACCACTGTGATCGTGGAGAAGCAGATGAAGGACAGTGCAACTCAGACCATGCGAACAGGTCTGGGGGAGCAGCGCCTGATCGAGCTGCGCAAGGAGAAGATCGCCCTGACTGAGCAAAACCGGCATTTGAGAGAAGAGTGGGCAGTGGCCCAGCATGCTCAGAGAGATGCTCAACGACAACTACAAGCGCTGGCCAGAGAGCACAAAAGCCTGAAGGAGAATCAGCAGGCCACTTTTGACCAGAAGTTCAAGGTGGCCGGACAGCAAGCATCCTTCAAGCGTGGCAAGTCAAGGAGGCTGTTGGCATGCCTCACGAGCCTGTGTCGCTCAGCGGACCGCCAACATGGTCTATGAGCAGATGCCGTGCAAGGCCTTTTTGACAAATGTACCCCCACAGCGCCCAAGGAGGGTGTTCATTGGACTGGTGCACCGCATGGCACGCTCGAGCTCGAACGGGGCCACGAGCGTGCCGAACGTGGAGTAAAGGAAGGAATCCCTCCGCCCCGTCCACCCATTCCCTAGGGATCCAAGTACCTTCTCAGAGGGTACGACTGGACCCTCCACACCTACATAACAGTGTCTCCAATCACCGTACCTGAGAAGGTACGACTGTAGGGATTCTTGCTGAGGCCACAGCTTTCCACCACGCGCCACCCACGATTGTAACCTGGGCCGGTCTGGTGGCGAGGTAGTTGGTGGTCTTTGGGGCCAGCTTGGTATGGAAGAGAACCACAAATGACCACCCACCTGGGACTGGAAGAAACAACATTAAAAACCATATATTTTCCGACATGGAAGATCGAATTGAACTGTTATTTTACCACCCCAACCGATTAGTCAATATGCCAGTCCGGTCTGCGTATGCGTGCTAGTGTTTCACCACTAAACTGCATCCCAAACTGCCTGAAACCCACCGTCGACTGCTCGGTCGGCTTGTTTGCATCTGGACTCTTCAGCCCTGCCGCTCGTGGGACGGAAATACCACATCCGCCGTTCATCCCCAGTCGTGCCATAACAAGGGCCCCGTGGTTCGCTGATACATCTCTTACCAACGAAGTTTTGGAGAAGACCGCGTACAGGTGGAAGGTATAGGTTCAGGTAGCTTACTAGCTGTCTTTTGGATCAACAAAAACAGGTTTTTGGTCTATTTGTCTCACCCAAAGAAACAGCGAAGTCTCGCGTCCCTGCGCGTAGGCTCAGCTCAAGTGGGCAGAGCGGGGCGGCGGGTGCGAGTCGCTCGAAACACGTGCCAGTCTTTTTGGGCTTGGACGTGCGGATGGCAGGGAGCTGAAGCGATGAAGCTGCCAGGTGTCACAGCAACTGTAAGTCTCTTGATTTAACCCTCCAGCACTGACTTAGACTTTGCCGCTTAGGAAACAAGAGCCACTTAGTGAAACAAGAGCCCTCCAGACTGAGTAGGTCTACCTCTAACCAGCGGTTTTTTTTGCTTCTTTCCCTCGGCCCGCATGCGGCTTCCGCTTTCGTGCACGGTGTACCTCCCTGGTGTCTTGAACGAATCATCTGAGAGCTTTTGGGATACTGAATCACGCCCAAAGTGTTTGAACATCCCAGACACTCCATGGGACTGCCATAGGACTGCCGATCAGGCTAGACAGGTCGTGTCTGGGCATGATCATTGAATGATCGCCACGACCAAAACCTCATCTCCAACCAAGAGAGGTTAAGTGACCTTATAGGACCTTACTGCGGTACCTAGGGGATAGTCTAGTTCAGGTCCTTCAACCTCTGTTGGAACCGTCCAAGTCGCCGGATCGCCGTCTGAGGAGTCGACGTAGCTGGGTCGGTTCGACGTCGCTGGGTTCGGCGATAGCGGATGGTTTTTGAGCGACTCGCCGCTTGAAATGCCTTTAAAGGGGTTCAACCCCTTAAAACAGATGACAGGCATTTCAGTACCTGAACCATGAAAAAAAAAGATGAAATGCCTGTCAGCAGTTCCTGTGTTTTTCTTTCGTGGTCAGCAACCCCTTGTTTAGCTAGGTCCAGGTGCTCCGACACACCCGGGACTGGATCTGCGACAACAGAGGTATCATTCCCTCTTTTTTTGGATCGGCGCTCATGTCACGAGTGGAGGCGGATTGCTGGGCTGCACACTACACATCAATATCGTCAGTCACACCCAAAAAGGTAGTGACGTAGCTGTGACGGAGTCATGAGTGAGGAAACCGCGAGTACATCATTACACATCCCAGCAATGCACGTGAATATGAAACAGCTCACAGCGAAGCTCGCGCAAGCTACTGGTCAAGGTGATGCCGTCCAAGAAGCGAGGGTCAAAGGCGGGACCAAAGGTCAAAGTCTGCAGGCTGCTTGGCAAGGTGACACCTTTCAAGCTCTGGTTGAACATGTAGTCGAAGGTCAAAGTCTGCAGGCTGCTTGGCAAGATCACACATTTCAAGCTCTGGTTGAATTCCCAGCCCAAGGTCAAAGTCTGCAAGCTGCTTGGTAAGATAACACCTTTCAAGCTCTTGTTAAAGATAAGGCCAAAGGTCAAAGTTTGCAGGCTACTTGGCAACGTGACACCTTCCAAGCTCTGGTCAAAGTATTTGCCGAAGGTCAAAGTCTGCAGGCTGCTTGGCAAGGTCACACCTTCCAAGCTGTGGTTGAACTTGTAGCCGAAGGTCAAAGTCTGCAGGCTGCTGGGCAAGGTGACACCTTCCAAGCTCTGGTTGAATTTATGACCGAAGATCAAAGTCTGCAGGATGCTTGGCAAGGTGACACTTTCCAAGCTCTGGTTAAACTCCTTGCCAAAGGTCAATGTCTGCAGGCTACTTGGCAAGGTGACACCTTCCAAGCTCTGATTGAACTCGTTGCCGAAGGTCAAAGAGGCGATTGCATCCGTCACTGTTGCATGCATGTGGTCTCTCCTCCTCTCTGCGAGAACCCTTCGGAACCCAATCGCTGCCTCCAGCGCACAAACCAGTCGAACGATGTATGAGATCTCTGGGCTGGGCACTTCCTGCAGAGGCTTGGAGAGACCCCTCCAGGATTTTGTCACCAGCAGAGAGAACAAGCTTTCGACCAGCCTTCGCGCCGATTCTTCGTGCCACCAGCAGAGAGGTCGCCCACCTCATGAGATGCTGAGTCAAAAGAGGAAGTTGAACAGGCTCAAAGCCATACCCAGTGTCCAATTAAAGTCTAGACTTTGATACCAAAAAGTAACATAATGCAAGTCATTGCAAGTCCGTGTGCAACAGTTGAAATATGAATCTTGCACGAAAGTATGAGGGAAATCGCTACCAACACAAGTTCTGCAGCAGTTCCATCATTCCCCGCACTCCTCATCAAGTTCCCTCTATTTTTTGAAAGCACAAGAAGTTGGCAGGCCAAGAGTCCGACTTTGTGGCTCCGAGATACGAATACACGAATACAGTCTCTGAGAAGGATGGTAGGTGGGTATAGGTTCGTTCGGAGGCCCATGATGTAGTTTCATGACGTTTGTGGTGATTGCTCTAGAAGATGATCTTCCTTTTTGGATGATGCATGTTCGTTGGAAACCAACGCATGCTTCATTAGGGTGAGCTTCAATCCGAACTTGCCCAAGACCTTGAACACCAAGCGAGATCATCAGGTGAATTTATACAAATGCAACTTGAACATCAAAATTGTTGGTAGTTCATGAACTGCTTCCCATGCAAGTTGACTCTGACTTCTTGTTGGAGCATGATTGATGGAGCTGCATGTGGTTTTAGAACTCCCTTGGACGGCGTCAAAACCTTGAAAGGTCATGTCTTTGAGGGAGGGGACGAAGACTCCCCAAAAAGTATATTGACAGCCCCAAAAAATAGGCACCAGTCATGTGCGATAGGCGCTTCACCCCAACCCTTCGGACTCATGATCGAGCTATACTAAATGCTGTCTCGCTGCAGTGGCCGTCTCATCCACTGGGAGCTCAAAGCTTGTGCCATCAAGGCCGTTGACGGTCCAACTGCTCTGCGAGTTCTGTGCCTCCACCACCAGCCTCGCGGTCCGCACATGTGGAAGCACGGTCAAATGGATGTTCGACGAACTTGTACCGAAAAGACTTTCCATGAGACTTTATCCTAGATATATTGATGATGGCAAAGCTCATCGACCTGGTGCTTAGCAAAAAGGAAAACGACAAAAATATCGGCGGACCCCTGGTGAAGGACGGCTTTGCAATGTGTAACAAGGGCATCGCTACTAGGAGCAAGGACGCTACAACAAAGGGCATCGCTAGTAACAAGAAGCGACGAACGTAACAAGGTGAGTCGGGGAAGGTCCGCCAAGCAGCTCAGTCCTGTCCAGATCCTCTGCGAATTTTCCGCTTCATCGTGCAACCACACAGCGCTGGCTGGTGGCACCCATGGCGAGTGGATCGTCCGATGGCAGGACGAGAAAAGCATAAAAAGGTGCGTCACCTGAAGTGTGTCAGAAATTAGTATTAGGCCTGTGACTTCTTTACGTGCCGTGTTGTTTAACCGTGTTTTTCTTGATCACTCAAGAGGCTGCAAGTACCTACATTGTCTTTTGCCTGTATACCTGAACACTCCACTTTCAGCGTTGTTGTCTTTTTGGATTCAACGACCGTCGCTCACTGCGCGACCGTCCTTCGTCAGTCCTGACGTCACCGCGCACCACATAAACGCGCCACGTCACCGAAGGTGAGCTCATGGGCAAAGACCGTGACCAAGAGCACCAGCTGCTCCTGGCACCGACCGGCGGCCGGCTACCGAACCAGCTCACCGCCCGCGTCGGCGACGGCCCTGAAGTGCGGGAGGGGGGGCGATTTTCCATGTGTGGGGGTGAAAGCTGGTTGGTGCAAACCCAATTGAAAACTATGAGTCAGGGGTTCAATCATCCCAAGTAAGGGTTAGAACATGGGATGAACATAAAAGTATCCGAAACCATCACCTATATGATCAAGATGCACCTTGGCTTCTGCAACAGATAAGCAACAAGGTCAGACATGTGAGTTCCGTGGAATCTGGAGACACACTTAGAACTGACAAGCATATTCCAGCGCTACCAAAAGGGTGTCCATTAAGTTTCCTCTTAGAGGTCAAGGAGTGTCCATCAACCACCCCTTGGGGGGGGGGGCCCTGGTTATAGAGTCTTACTGGACGCTTTCATCTTTTCCAAAATACCTCTCTACCGAGAATCGAAACCTTTGCGAATCCACCGACCTTGAGTGAAACCGACCTGTCGAGTGAAACCGACCAGGCTCGCTCGCTCTCTGCCAAGACCCAACTCGGTCACTCCGTTCTCACCCAGAAGTCACAGCTTATTATAAAGAAGACTCTCAGAGAAAATCATGAACATGACCACCTCATTTCAATCCCATCCTCTCTATTTCGGTCGCTCCATCCCTATTGGTTCCGAACGGTTCTGAACTTTGTTGTTCTTGTAGTGGAAAAAGGTGGACAAAAAATATACCCCTGCTTCCACTTTCTCCCTTGAGAACCGCTGCAGCTTTCCACCACCACCAGCTGCTGCATTCTCCCCTGCGCCCGCGCCCAGTCTACCCCCCCCCCCCCCACGCGGGTCGCTCCCGCCCATCGCGGTCGCCAGGCCAACGTTTGTTCCACCGGTCGATGGTGGACTTCAGTTCCACCGGGCACTCCTGGCGCGGGCTCCCCGCGGCTTCACCCACAGAACCCGCGTCACGCGGCGCGGTGGCGCGGTGGCGTCGCGGGGAGCTGCGGAGTGCCACATCGGACCGGTGGTTGGGGCCAAATCCATCGATCCATCGGATCGGTTCAGGCACGACCATCGGGTTTGGGGCGTGTCGTTGGGGTAGCCATCCGAAGGAGTAAAAGAATGGTTCTTCGGGATTCAGATGGATTCAGACTACTTAGAGCAATGCCTGACCAGGAATCTGAGATGAAAAAGAATCGATCCACTGAACATTGCCAGCATTTATCTAGAGGTGTGCATGGAACATTCGAGTGCAGTGCCTTGGGATGTACAGGATGAATCCGGGTCACCTGTTCATTTTGGAATGATTTTGGTGGAAGGACAGTAAGATCAAAGGAATCGACTGAGATATCTGAGAACCCAGTCCCTGTGGAGATATCCACTGACTCCCTCAGTTTCCTTATGACAATACAGGGGGTGCATGGAATGGGAGTGCCTTGGCAAACTTGGGATGTACAGGACTCCTTTTAAGCTCATTTGGTGGAAGGTCAGTGAGATCAACAGAATCCACTGAGATATCACCTGAATATAACTAATATATCTGAGTGATATCTGATATATGTGGAGATATCGACTGACACTGAGGGAGTGTCCTTCAAATATATAACGGTCAACCAAACTTTCGACCTCCCCAGGGTTCAGTGCACCCAGTCCCCCAGTTTGTGCACTGTTTCTGGGTAAGTCAAATGCAGCCAGTGTGGTCACCACCGCCGTGCTTGGTCTGATCCCAGACTTCCAAGATTCAACTTGTTCCAAAGGAAGCAGGCGTTTTTTAGGAGGGTCTTTGCCGTCTTGCTGTGTTTTTACAGTGTTCTTTGGATTTGCTTCCTTGGGATTCCCAACTTCTTCTTCATAGCTATGCATGATACCTATCAGATTTTGGTTCGACCAAATCTGCTTAACTTAAAGGCTTGTCCAGCACGAGTTGCGCAATGTTGCGCACATGATCAGATCTAGCAATCTATATGGAGCTTTTTCATCTTAAGCTGAAGGAGTTTGACATACTATAACTCTTTAAACATGTTTTTTCCCTAGCTGACGGACGTCAAGAGTTGATCACTTCTTTCTACGCTGAGATCTTCCATGTACCCAGCTTCCAGCACCCGACCTTGCGCGAAGAACTTGCAGCCTTGCAGTGCACCAAAAACGGGAAAGTCTTACCATACCCAGACACTCCATGTATGCCATATATGCCGCCTACATTGACCCCCCAAAACCACCCCAATGTAGGCAAATATGACATACATGGAGTGTCTGGATATCTTCCATATGAGGCTCCGGGGGGTTCCACTCAGTTCGGAACTCAGGGTCCACTCAGTTTTTTCTCATTGTTCCGCGAACCAAAACCACGCGACGGAACACCGGGCGAAACGCACGATTTTTCGACCACCGAAGGTGGTGAAGTGATCCGCGGAACCCGGACACCACCCAATGGACACTCCGCCCCAACAAACCAATGGGAACGGTTCCGCGAATCCCTTCACCCATCTTCAGTTCCACCAACCTGGACCCTCTCCGAGAGAGGAACACCCGATGGCTCCTTGTACCAATGGTGACCCTGCGCCAAAGGCACCAGCGCCAGTGCCCCGAGGATCACATACCTCGCTCGAACGAGTCTGCCGTCGTCGCAGGTGGTGGAGCCTTCGTCCCTTCGGCTCGGGGCTCGGGGCCGTGACGTTCGGGGACACCCTCCTCCGTCCTCCTTCCTCCGGGACCGGCACCCGGTCTCGTGACCATCAGATGTGTCTGTTGAAGTGCAGAGAGTGGAGAAACAGTGCTGATCAGGCTTAGTTCAGTCCCAAGGAGGGATGAGCTTGGGTTGATAGGCTCACCCCGCAAAAAAGAAGGGCTTCCCAAGAACAAGAGATATATTGCTGCGTTGTTCATTCTCACCTGTGCAGTGGGATCTGGGAAGTAGTGCCATGCTGCAAAAGTGGCACAGGTCGGCAACACCACCCAGACACACCCAGACGCCAATCATCTGCTTTTGTGAAACCAAAACCAAGAACAGAACCCAGACACGACCTGTCTGGGACTGCCAGGACGGACTGCCGCCCCAGAAAGACCCCTCTGGCACCACCACCCCTGGCCTTTTCTCGGCAGTCCGTCCTGGCAGTCCCATGTAGTGTTTGGGGAACAGAAGGTGATCATTGCTGCAATTCGAAGGTGATCATCTTCCTTCCCACCCATCCCATCCTGACTTGGGAGACCATGACAATGACCCAAGACACGACCAAAACACAACCGTCAGACACTGCCGAAACATGACCCAAAACACCATCAATACATGAGCGAAATACCACAGATTACTACGGAAAAGACAGGATACAGCCTAAACATAGCCAACCATAGCCAAGAAACCGCTAAAATATGAGGCAACACATCAAGGAAACACCACCGTTAAACATGACTGAGGACAAAAAGGACGAGATACAGTACCGCCCAAACATAGCTGAGACACAGCCAAAGCAAGAGCCAAACGTCGCCAGATCATGACCGAGACAATTTGCATTGACGGATGACTGTACTTTTCCAGTGGATATCTTCCCAGACACGACTAATGGGACTGGCATATTTATTTACATTGAACCCTGTTCAACCACCCCAACTGATCGGTAAATCTGCCAGTCCCATGTGTCGTGTCTGGGATTGTTCATCAGGCTGCAACTTCACGCTTCTTGCAAGGCTTTCACGTGGTAACTGTCCCAACCAAAGTACCATGTCGTTGACTCCCAGGTACCTCAAGTCTGCCGACCTTTTGCTCATCGTGTTTGATGAGCCATCAGGAGTGAACGTGGATGTTGATTCCCTGTGCTCTTCCAAAGTCCATGAACCTCCTCTTTCCATCCCTTTCCTACTTTTTGGGAGGGTTCTTGAGGCCCACACCTTTGGTTGTCGAATCCTGGGGCGCCCTGAACAACCTACCGAAACTGGCTATACTGGATCTTCTTACCCTGACAACACCGGCGACCTGCAGCCTTCGCAGCTCCGTCACCCCGTCCACACCGGCGTCCAGTCGAAAGGGATGCTCGACTCAACGGACTCTGGGCTCGCCGGACTCTGGAAGATAATCCACATCCGGCCAGCGAGGGCAGATGGGTGGCAAGTCCTTGAGCTCCACTGGAGGACACTCCACCTACGCCGCGGTCAAGCGTGCCGTGGTCGAGCGCACACGGTTTTTTGGCGGGGCGCACCGTGTGTGGAAGCAGCTGCGGTGGCGGAGACTAACCGACGAACCCTGTCCAAGAGAAGGTCGACATACCCAAGTCTCAGATTACCCTGGAGTCTTTTTCCCACCTGACCCCTTTTTCCCAAGGTCAAAAGCACGTGACACTCCCGACACTCCATGGAAGACCCAGGTCCACGACCTGGTTGTTACACTCTAGAAGTCCAAACTGCAGAATTGGAGGTCTAGTCAAACCCCCGTCCATGTACACTCCAAGTCACATGGAAGTGGAGAGAACACCAGGTATACCTCCCAGATGCTCCATGGGACTGCCAGGACGGACTGCCGCCCCATTGACCCCTCAAACCACCACCCCTGGCCTGATCGGCAGTCCTATGGCAGTCCCATGTAGTGGTTTCTGGACCTGTTGGCGTCTAGACCAGCGTCCAAACCTGGTAGCGGACCATCCGATGGGAGCATCCCCGCCTTTTGGCCCTCGCGGAAGACCACGAAGGTGGTCTTGTCGCCGATGCCCTTGTTACGCAAGAGGTACCTGGGTGCCGCAAGAGGAAGGACGGAAGGGAGGCAGGGAGGAACTTCGCCCTGGTGCCGCCAGACATGCATGCAGCGATGATGCACGGTGCGACCGGACAGGAGGGCCCCCGAGTTGGACCTCAGGGTCCTTTTCTGAGGTTTCGGGAGTGTACTCCCAAAAACACGACACCTTCCCTGGGACTGGAGTAGTTATATACACCTCATTTTGTACATGGATGGGTCATGAAATCACCTAAATGATGGTGTTCATACTATGGGAGCACCCTCCAAAAAGTTCTCCCCCAAAAAAGTCAGTCCACTGCGGGACAAATGGTGGGCTCGGTTCCATGCGACTGTCGCGCCGGGCGCCCCACTCTCCTTGCTGCTTGAGGTCTGAGACCACAAACAACAGCTGTGAACAAAAGAACTTTGATGAAAAAGATTCAACTGAGGAATGGTTAAAGATTGTCAAAGGGCCATGGGGTTGTGACCATGGGGTTCAGACCAGAATTGTGACAACGTGAGTTGATCATCAATTGGATAACGTTGACCTTTAAATGGTGTAAGGCACTCTGCAGCAACCCTGCATGAATTTGGCTCGCTGCCTTTCCAAGAACCTCCAAAGGCAATTTTTCATTGTACTCAAAGATTCCCAAAGCTTCGCCACTCCAGCTGTTCTTCAAGAGATGAGTCGCACGTTCTGCCCCCCCCCCGGTGCCGTACGCGCGCTGTACGCGCAGCACGGTGGCGCCTGTGTTGGATGAGTTCATGGCCTCTAAGCTCGATCTGGCCGTCATCGCTGATGGTGCGACCGTCGATCTTCATGAGGACCTCGGAGTACGCGCATTTGCGATTGACTGAGGATATAGGTCATTGAATGAGGTGCCAAACACACGAACACAACAAACAGGTGCTCAGCTGCTCAAATTCTCTGAAAGCATGTGGATTGCTCTGCCATGCTCTGTCTGCCTCTTTCAAAAGCAAGCAATGACCATCCAGTTGGCAACTCGCACGTTCCGCGTGATGGCACTCTCGGTGGCTCCGTCAGTGGCCAGCCTCGCGTTTCAAGCGCTTGGTCTCAGAGCCCAACATCACTGACCTTCAAGGAGCCCTCCAAGAAGGGCGCGACCTGAGTGGGGGATGTTGTGAGAAGGGGCGACGTCTTCTGGTGTGTTTTGCGAACAAAACACCAGTGCCAGCCGTTTGATGGAGTTGGGTCCCCGTGTGGGTACGGTGATCTTCTCACCTCCCACGAGGAGGCCGACATCCACCCCACCTCCAACATGGAACTCCTTGGTGAATCCTGATCTTGGACTTGCTTCAGGAACCCGGAAAACATGAAAACACCTTTTCCCCATGGCAGCGGATTCACCCGGGAACCGGGAGAAGACGCATTCATCACCGAAGATCATATCAGGATCATGGGAGAACTCTGTGGATGCAAAACTCCATCTTTTCTTAACAGAACAATCAACACCAGCACATCCCAACACCATTGGGCTCGTCTCGAAACCGTGCGGTGTTGATTCAAGGGGGTCGTGTCGCGTTCGATCACGCCGGTCGACACCGTCGTCCGGAGCGACTTGTCGTGTGCCACCGTCCGGCGCGACTGGTCGGGCGCCTGCTGAGGCGCTCGAACCATTGAAGAATGTTTTGGACTTCACCCCATGCTAGCATGGTGTTCAACATGTATTGCGCAAAGGTTTGGGCATCCTTGTTTGTATCGATCTATAGATCTGCATATATAACACTTCCAAATCCTAGGGATCCAAGTACCTTGTCAGAAGGTGATTGGATTGTTATGTAGGTGCGAGGAGGGTCCAGTCGTACCTTCTGAGGTTCGGTACGACTGGATCCCTAGGGAAATAGCAAAATCATCCAACCTCCCGAGCTGGGATCAGACACCGGGCCCCTTCACACGACTCCGGCGCCAGAAACTGCGGCGCTCGGGCGGTCCATCCTACCCCGTTTTGCTACCACTCCCCCCGCGCTGGGACTTGGCACGCTGGTCAGCAACACTCCGCTGATCTCGTGCGGCACCTTGTGTGCCGCCCGCAGCGACTGATTCTCCTCGACAGGCGCGGAGGGTCGAGCTCTGGTCAGCTCGAACCGCAGCCGAGCCATTTGAAGTGACTGAGCCATGACAGAGGACTTGGCCGTGACAGGGCGTTGGACTGGACGGGTCTGGGTGGTGACCCATCAAGAACGGCATTCAGATCTGCTAAAGGATCAAGTTCATGGCGTATGTAGAGTCGCACTTTGCATGGAAATTGATAAATGGGCCGCACAGGGAACAAAGCTACTAGGGGGGGTCCAGGATTTGGACCCACTACCTTTTGATGGAGTTGTAGATGAGGATGGACCCAAGGACTACTGAGGACTTGCAGAGTCGCAATCGGGTGGCCACGCCAAAGAACAAACGCTCCGTGAAACCAGCCCTACTTCCGGTCCCGAACCAAACCATAGGGATTGGTGAGAAGGTCCAGACCCCTCCAAACGATTCGGGTCCGACCCCTGCATAGGTTCGGGTCCAGGAGCCTCTGGGATTTTATAAAAAGCAATTCCTCAGGTTCCCTCCCTCTGTTCTTCCCTCCCGTCCAGCTTGTGCCATCGATATGGCACGGAGGGTGAGAGCGTGTAGCCATCGCGCTCCTGCCGCGGCAAGGAAGTCCTAGGCATCCCTGTCCATCACTCTTCATCTATGTCAGCCAATGCAGAACTGACTTGCAAGGACATCCTATTTGCCTTCTGTTCGACCATTCAAAAAATGTTGTTCGGAAAGCCTATGAAATGAATAGTGGTTGGAATGCTAAGGACATATTAAGGTGTCTAATGGAAAGAAACTACCCCTTTTTAATTTGGGTGTCCTTTTGTACATGATTCCGCTTCACTTATACCTGAGTGCATTTCTATGCACATGACATCAATTCACCAGGCCCAACCACGGAGTCGCCGTCTTCTCTCGTGTTCACCCGCGGAGACTCCGTTCTCCGTCGCGCCACGTCGCCCCCGGCGGAGGCGCCTTGCCACAGCGATCTAAGAAGGTCCGCACGACCGCCGCAGGGATCACCTGAGCGCCCGGCGGCCGTGAGGTCGGTGCCACGGCGAGGGCGGAAGGCTTCAGAAGGCTTCAGACGGAGGAGGAGCTGATGGAGCTCATGAGACCCATGGGAGGATCAGAAGGGTGCCTGGGTGAAGAAGTCCTCCGATTTCGAAGGGATGGTCTTCAAAATCGGACCTGGACTCCACTGGGTGGAAGGGTGGTCTAGGGTGGTCCTCACAGGGAGGGGACTCACAGGGAGAGTTCGTCTTCGGATGCAAACCATCCCTAGACGACTTCCCTAGACTTCGACGGGAAGAACCCTAGTTTTTGTAGTGCAAATCCTTAGTTGATTCTGGAGATTAAAAAATATATATATATATATATTGGTTGGGCAGGAAGCCTAGGGCATTCCTTTCTTTCGAAGTTCGAGTCTAGGAGTTTCTGCAGTGTGACCGAACATCCGAGCTCGGTCACTGACGGAAGTCGTCCTGCCCCTAAGGATCTGAGTCCGGACCCTCCAAAAGCACGGGGTCAAAGGCTCTTTTTCCAGGGGTCACTGGGGCCCTGAACAACACCCTTAGTTTTCGAGGGTCCAGATTCTTAGGACCTCAACAATACCAAAGGGTCCAAAAGGTTTTCACCATCCCCTTAGCCGAGTCCATGCACGGCTGAATCGACGGCTGGGCCGATCGGCATCAGGATCGAGGCCAAACTCCGTCGTGGAAGTTTCGGGGTGCAATCCATGCACCCGTTGCAAGAACCATTGATTTGATGGCCTTTGCTGAACAACCGAGCTTTTTAACCAAGGGTTTTACGCTATGAAACCAGGTCACACATTTTTGAATCCTCTTGGAAAGGTAGGAAAAAACGGAGTGAAATCAACTGCTCCAGAACACGTGCAACGTCGGCAGACCTGCAACACGTTGCTGATCCCCAGAGGTCCCTCAAAGGTCGCTTCGACCTCTTCCACCGGGAGGTTGGGGGGGTGGAGAAAGCAATCACCCCCAGTGATAGACAAGCAAATGATCCAGGAAGGTACACCTCATTTCACGACCCACATGGAACCTCCAAACCACTCGGTGGTTTTGCAGGAAAGTCGTCTTCCAGTCTGCTCCATTCTCAGGTTCCATGTGCAGGTGCTCTACATGGAGCTCCATACTGGGTTTACTCAGTATGGCGCCTTCTTCAGACCATCCAAGTATGGAATACTTACTTATACGGTCATATAGATACCAATTAGGCATTTTTTGCAAACTGGTGAGTCTCCTCTTCACTTGCTCCCCCAAAACAGCTCCCAGTAAGCCTCGACACCTAAACACACCTGCCCAGACGCTCTAAACACACCCAAGCCGAAGCCTGTTTGGTTCGGGCCCAGTCGGCCTGTTTTCATGGAGCGTCTGGGTGGTTTCTTTTCTGCGTGGAGGAAAAAAACCCAGACTCTATCCGGACCCTCAAAAACAATGGTTTTGAGGGTACAAGCCCCTGTGAACAGCACAGAGAACACCTCAAACAGCCGCCTTCTTGCGCCGCCTGATCCCAACAGAAAGCAGCACATCCAGCTCCGCCAAGCGCCCTCGCGTAACCGATGTTGTCAGTGCAGTTCCGCACATCCTGCCGTTGCGGCGCGGAACCGCACACACCGAGGAACCGCAGGCGGAGGTACGGACCTGGGTTCTCCAATCCTCGATTTGTTGGAGGGCGATTCTGGACATGCCCAGACGCTCCGTTCACAGCCCTTGGGTCCCTCAAAACCATAGGGATTTGAGGGTCCGACCCCTGCATATGAGGGTCCAGGAGCGTCTGGGTGAATCAGAATCTGTGCCCTTCTGCAAGGGTTAACCGTCCGTTTCAGCCCGATTGGCAATGGAGATCTGGACGTTTTTCATAGCGCTGAAACACCCGTGGTGGGTCGTAGATGTCTTGACTCTCCAGGTGTCCTCTCTATGTCAGTCCTGTCTACCGACGGTCATGTTGATGGTTCAAGCGAGCTCGTGTCTCGAGCCAAGAAGGGCTCCCAACGAGTTCGCATCGGGACAGTTCCAAGTAGACGCGACAACCCGAATCCTGCTGCAGGGGTCGGACCTTCAGCCCCCCAATCGGTTTGGTTCGGGCCTGTGAACGGCCTGTGAACTCACGGAGCGTCTGGGAAGTTCAGTGGAGAAACTCTTCGCTCATCGGCGAAGTCTAAAAGTCTAACACCTGCGGTTGATCCAAGTGGAGCCCTGGGAGTCAAAGACCATTAAAACAATGGGAACGACCTGGTTTTTGTATTGTAAAATCCTTAGTTGATTGGGTAGTCAGCCTATTAAATTAATGGTTGTTGGAAGCCTAGGGGGGAGACTTCTGAACCCGAACATTCCGACCAATCCTTCACCATCCCTTCACCCGGCCGAACCAGAGTCCTCGGGATGCCCCTGTCCAGCACCCCTGTCCACCGATCCTTGGATTTGCTTAAGGAACCTTGAAAAATATATGTCATATCAAAACATCACTTGGACACCCACTTGCTATTTGGAGGACACCCGGTTCAGGCTAGATGAGCCTATATCTCAAAACATCACCACAAGGGGATTGACCTTTTTCAACAAAACCACCGATCCGCGGTCCTTGCAAAAGGCCACCCCAGTGATATAGCCTCGACTGTCAAAGACAGGGCCTCCGCCTGCCCAGCGATGCCCACTGAAGGTCGGAGTGTGTCGAGCCAGGTCTGCACAAGACCCGGGACCCCTCCATTCAGTAGGGGCCCATACCCTCATATGGAGGGGCCCGGACCGGACCCGAACCAATCCCTATGGCTTTGAGGGACCAAGGCCTGTGAACAAAGCGTCTGGTTCTGGAAGAAGGAATGAGGGAGTCGATGCCAGGTATCATGCTTTGGTCAGATAGAAGGTCTTTTTTTCGCCCCGGAACACTGCACGAATCTCCGCAGGCTCTGAGGGCTGTGGGCCTCTTTTATATTCCTAAACCTGGTTGTATACGACCAGGGAGTATCCCCTCTACTCATCAATCAAGTCCAGACATTCTATGTATATGGAATACATGTCAGCAGTGATGGACAAACCCGAAATGGTCTTTGATGTTGTTGGAAGAGAACATCTAACTACCCAGCCAGGCTGCAAACTGAGTCGAATACACTTTCCACACTTCTTGGGCCTGTTTCTCTCCTGCCCCTCTAAGGTTCCGCACTATTGCCAGGGTTGATGGCCGCATCGATCTGAATCACCAGCCTGGGTGGATGACCATGCAACGATGAAACAAATGGTTGACCTGGTTTCGTCGTGTAATATTTTTTGTAAAATACAAGCGTTGCTCGGTAATGTTCAGTAAAAACAACGAAATCAATGGTGGTTGCAATTCTAGTGTAAACGGTTGATTAATAGAGGGTTTTGTGCCCAGAATGGCTTTGCATCTATATGGCAGACGACACATTGCAGTTGATACTTGTCCTCTGTAGGATGTTCCATATTGCAGGCACTTCGGTCAAGAAATCGACCATATATACCTTTGTTACAGTGAATTTCCTGCCATATTTTTCTTTTGAATTTAGTGAATTTTATGCCATATTCCAGCTAGCCAAGCAGCTAGCCGATATGGGGTACCCTTTTCCCCGGCTTGCCGAGAAAGCATTGGCCTTCAGAAGGAGTGGGATGATACCATGCAGCATCGTTTGCTGACAGCTACATAGCGCGCATCATGAGACTGTGAAGACCCAAACGCGTTTCACTGCCCACTCTGCTCCAACCCTCACCTTTTGCAGAAACTAGCCTCAGGATGGGATATGTCGTGCAAATGACCTAAAACTTATTTGTGCAAATAACCTTGGTAGGTGTTAGGATCTCAACTATGTGTCCATTCAATATATTAGTCGGAGTGATGTGTGGCAGACTTGTATCAGTTGGTGTGTCAGACTTGTGGCAGTTGCTTGCTGTGGGCTGTGGCAGGTTTGTGGCAGTCAGTTGTTTCAGTACAGGGTTGATCCTGATATTTTCTCCAGACAATCGCGGTGGAGAATCTCCCCCCAAGCTTAGCCTGATCTTAGATGAACAGAACTAACTGTCTTTCGGGTATGTGTCCCCAATCCCCCAACTGAAGCTGACCTGCAGGTGATCCACACTCCTGGGTAAGGCAACCATTTGGCTGGGGCCGGGTTGACCACCGATTGAGAAAAAAGGCGATGATCCAGCGCCACCCAACGGCTCTGTCCAGGGGTACTGGGGGTCTTGGTATGTACAGACCAAGGTTCAATCTAAACAGGGATCCTACTCGACTGGATCCCTGACATACTATATCAGCAACAAGAAACACCAGGATGCAGCGAACCTGAAACCGAAGAAAAACACAACCACAAAACAACCAACCACCCATCAAAAATTAGTCCATGATATGTGCGATGCGGTGTTGAGAAAAAGGACCTGAGATGGACCCAAACACACCACAAAAACAAATAACATCACGACCACCCGGAAGGATTTGAGAATCTGCTTGGGTCACGGAGAGTCTCATTAAGCATCTAGTTTGATGTCATCATTTCAAGATTCAATCTGGAATTGGAACCGCATCCAGATTGATTGGCGTTTGCATCTCGAAGTCGACCTCGAAATTCCTAGATCATAAGACATCCTGGATATCCAAAGGGTAGAAGGGCATTGGCAATGATCGGCTGGCACGACGACATCGGGCTGAAATGGAGGGGCATGGCACAAATGTGTTGTACATCGTTGTAATGTCTGGATAAACGTTGTTGCAGTAGGATGTCTCGGAAACGCCAAAAAACGAGACGTGTGAGCGAAATCGCATGGTGTTGTTCTTAGGGTACAGGGGGTCATTGCCTAACCACATGGGCAGGGGTATAAATCCTTTTACTCGCGTGTATGTGTCTGGACATTTTCAACAAGCAAACGGCCCCAGACGAGCTGCATTTCCACCCTAAGTGCAAATGCGAAACACAAAAAGGCTCAATTTTGCTAAAGCTGCAGTAACGCCAGAGCATCAGAACCCATTATCCATTCGGGCAACTCCCAATGTTTAGTTGCCACGGATCCATTGCGCTTGACCATCAGCACCGGACCATACCCAATCACTGCAAAGCCTTGATGTGCCTTGTATGATTACGTGCCTTGTGACTGCTATCCTGCTAAAGCTTCGACCACACGCCGTTTTGCTCGGGTTCAGCGACGTCTCCACCACGTCGCAGCTCCCCGGCCCGAACGTCGATCAGGTGACCGTTCTTGCTGGGAAAGGTGAAAGAGACGCCAACACGCACTCCAAAGACCTGCAACCAGACACCCAGATATGACACATGGGACTGTCATATTGGCATGCCGATCAGTTGGGGTGGTTGACTGGGGGTCTGTCTGGGGCGGCAGTCCGTCCTGGCAGTCCCAGACAGGTCGTGTCTGGGATTGGAAAAATGCCTGCATCATGCCTGGCAGAAGCTGTGTCAAATCATCACCTTGGCCTGCGGCTTCCACCACCGTAGCAAGACCTGTCTGCGAGGCAGCCCCTGAAGCCGTTGCCACAGCTGACAGTGTCAGCCTCATTTGCCAGGTGTTGATGAATGCTGTAAGGCCATCACCTGACAACAAAGTCCCAGCATTAATTGTACAAAGCAACATATCCCCGCTGGTCATATTGCGAGGCACTTGGAGCTTCGTACAGTTGATCGGTTTGTCTGAAGACCAACTTGGGTTCAGCTGTTTAACCCAGTTGCAGATAGGCAGTATACTTCAATCTCACGACTAGAGTGTTGATCTCACGCTGATGCATCAGTCACAAAAGTATGGCCCCATGCAGCATGCACAAACTTGCACCGCAACTGTAATCGCAGCAGCCATTTGCTCCACTTGTCGAGCGCTCTGAAATCAGTAACGCGACATGCGGTTGGTGGACAAAATCCTGCACCAGCGGAAGAACAAATCCATGTATACCCTCCCGCTCCCTCTTTAACATTGAGTTGAGGAAAAATGTGAGACACAAAAAAGTTGAATGACCAAAATCCTGCATCACACATGCCAAACATGAGACAACATTGCGTTGGGGGGTATGGTACGGGCGTCTGCACTATTGGAGGACCACATGCTTCGCTTTGTTGATGCAGGATTTTGTCCATCAACAGTAGCTCACCAGGTATAGCCCAAGTATGCCTGCTTCAACCTTCTTGGCTACCCGGCTTTGGCGCAAATGTCGCCTCTATAAGCCTGTACGTGCAGCTTCCTCTTTCCTGACAACCTGTCATCCATCCCCTAAAGCGGCCACTCAATTCTCCTGCTCGAAGCGCACCAGTGAATGAGCTGTTGGTAGCTCTCAAACCATCTTCCAGGGTGGCTTTCTATAGCGCATCGCCGCATCATTCTCCATGTGCAATAGGAAACCCCATCCCAGGGATGGCCGATCATCTGCCTCATCTCTCACTCGCGCAGGCTGATTGGCCCCTACCAATAGGTACGCGCGGGTATGACAGTCTAGCAGCCGTTGGCACATCAACTTGTACCTTCACAAGAAGCCGGCTTGCCAATTGATCTCATGTGAAGGACTGAGCACAACCCACGTAAAAATCAGACTAACGACATGAACAAAAGAACAGAAGCCTTGAACCGACCAACGAACATGAACCGAGTAGACTACCAGACCTCATCAACCTACCAAACACGACCAGGGCCTCTCAGTTTTCACCGCCATCTTCGACCCACTCGACACTGAGACGTAGCCCAGAGGCGTGGTATCCGCCGGTGGAGTCAATTCGATGGAGTCCACCCGGGACCTCATCTGCCGACTGTGTGGCATCACTTTTTGGATGTCTCTCCTAGGATCCGCCCAAACGCTCCCGAATCCTCATATGCAGGGGTCCGGACCCTCAAATCCCCCTGGTTTTGAGGGCCCAAGGGCTGTGAACGGGGCGTCTGGGCGGGGAAAAAACCGAAGTGATTCTCCATGCCAGGGGATTCACCCAGAAACGATTGGTAGAAGATCTGATGCGAACAAATCTCCCAAGTGAGAGGGGGGATTCCCTGAAACCTTGAAACATGCCAAATATCCTCGAACTGGACATCCAGAATTGTAAAACATGTAATATGTCCTTTCGGTCCTTTCTTTAGTTTTGGAATGTGTTGGATGCAAGTTTTGAGCACCCCCACCACGTAAACTTGGATGTGGAGAAGGCTCGGTGAACTTGTCCAGGTCTGTATCAAAGGACCCTACGCAATATTCTTCTCTTGGTGATACGGGATCTAGGTTGGTAGGCTAGTAGGTTAGTTTAGGCCAGGTTAGGCTAGGGTAGGTTGAGTAAGGTAGGTAGGTCCACAACTAACCATTTAGGTCCAAACACAATCCTTTTGGCTCTCCGGCAGTAAGATGAGTGAGATTTGAACTGGTTTAAGGCCTCGTCTCACCCTCGACTCACTTTGCCATATCATTGGCTTTGTGGGGTACCTCTCTTGTCTTTGGCTCTGCTGTAGGTGTCTGTGTGACATGCATCAGCGAACCCCCTCTCAAGCCATCTGGGCTTTACTTTTAAGCTGGCTCCAGTGTGCACATCCCAGGAATGGAGTATAAAACTATGAACACCAACCAACCATGAGGGTCTCACAATGTCTCATACAAATGCAAACCCGTTCTCAAAACATCTCAAAACCACCATTGGGTCTTGTAACGGTGGATGATGGCCAGTTGAAACTACTACAGCACCACTTGTTGCGACAAAAACACTTCTTGATGGTTCCTGGTTCCAAAACGCACAAAGCAAACCATCTGAGTCAGCGGGATCACTCCTTTTCAAGTCAAGTGGCAACATCTGGCGCAACATCAAACCAGTCCGTTTCATGATCCGCCCCACGTGACCCGCCCCTCTGAAGCAGTGGACACGACCCCTTCGGTGATACACAAGGTCCGCCCGCCTGGCACGACGAGAAGGACCTGCCTCCAACGCAAAAGCCCTGGGCTCCAAATACCTTCTGAGAAGGTGTTTGGGGTGGGTTTAGAGGGTCCAAATACCTTCTGAGGAGGCACCTGGAGCCCTAGGGAATAGCAAAAGGAACCTAATAGCGATGGCCTCCAACCTAGCGATGGCCTATCATCCCTGGCCTACTAGCGGCTCCCATCCCGGAACCGAATTTCCATGCATCCTCTTCCCCATGCCCACGCGGGAGAAAAAGAAACCATCCCCATTGGGCCAAACACACCAATCCTCCCTTTCTCCCGCCCAAGCACAGATCTCCCGTCCCACGCAACGCCGGTGAAGCCCTGAACTCTCCGACCGGTCGCGCGACCGGTCGCGACGAACTGGAGTCTCAGGACTTGTGACTGACCTTCCAGAGGTTGAAGAACCTTATATTCCCTATGGATCCACATACCTTCTCACAAACCAATTGGACCTTCCAAACCTACATAAATAGTCTCCAGCCACCTTCTCAGAAGATATGTGGATCCATAATAGGGATTGTATAGGTACCAAAAGAGGATTTCAGTGACCGTATATAGGACCCGTCACCTGGGGTACCCAACTGGGATAGTCGAACTGTCGGGTTCTTCAACCTCTGTTGGTACCCCAGAATGGTCCTTTTTTCAGGTCACTTAACCGCTCTTGGTCATTCTGGAATCTCAAGTTAGGTCACTCCTGGCGGTTGGACTGAAGAGTGGGACACTCTTATTTCTCCCCCAGCAAGCTGCAGCTGATGAACAAATGTCCTTCTGGGTCGGCCCAAAAAGGCCACATATATATATATATAAATTAAACATGCCCTTTGTTCCTTGTAGGCCAGGAGCTTTGACTACCTTCGAGGCAGTGGCAAACCCCTCTGCTTCTTGCTTTTCACCTTTCTCTTTCATCTTTTTCAAGGCCTTCACAGCCTCTTGGGCCATTTCCGCCGATTGGCGGGAGGCGGTTACCAAAGCCTCGATTGCCGAAGCCTCCATGGCCCTTCTTTATATTTTGTTGTTCTTCCTTCTTTCTCTTTTCTTCCTCTTCTTTTCTTCTAGCCTCCTCACGGGCTTCCCTTCCCTGGATCTTTTGCTTGCCGGGGGTATCTTTACTGACCCCCTCAGGGGCTCCGCTACCATGCAAAGTAGCGCGAACTCAAAGCGAACCGCACCTTTTCACGGGTACTTGAGCCTGGTTGTGAGCGGTATGCTCAGGTCTGTGTCCATCTTTACAGTTATAGTTATAAATATATGTATTTCTTGTATTTCATTGATTGAAATATAAGTTCTATATTCAATTATTTTTTGTCTTTAAATGCATAAACACCTTTTATTTATTATATAGATATAATATAATTCTAAAAATTGAAAATATATAATTTCTACCAGTTGCTTCTTGTTAGTTATTGTACGTATGTATGTATGCATTCATTCATTCATGTCATGTATGTATGCATGTGTGCGTGTGCGCGCTTGTATGTCCGCGTGTGTCTGATGGAGTTCTTGCGTGAGCTTCTCAGCGTTCTTGAGCTTTGCCTCCATTTTCTTCGCTGCTACCAACTGCATCTTTGCATTGGGCTTTGGAGGACGAGGAGGGGTGTGTCGCGGAACTGGTAGCAACTGTCCTTCAGGAGTCTCACGCGCATCGGATTCCTCATACGCGTACGCTTGGTGCTGAGCAGCACGGTACTCTGCAGTCCACTCGCCACTCCGTCAGCGACGCACACACTCCCGCCAGCATCGCACCCAGGTCACCGCTGCCCTCCAAAGATAACCGTAGTAACGGCGAACCAAGGTGTGGAGTCCACTGTGGGCGCGTGGTGCAGATCGAAGATGTGCACCGGACGGAAACATCGGTAGCAGCAGGCCGTGCTCCGCGAGGACGTGCACGATGTAGGCACTGCTGATGTTGTATGGACTGAGGATCGCCCCTGACTTCGTGGTGAAGCACACAAGCCCGTCTGCAACTGCTTCGCGCAGTGCGATGACGATCTCAATGGGGTTGAGACGTCGGTTGCTCGGTTGCTGGGGACGATCTCGCCACCGTGCAGGACAATAGAGTGCTGAGCAGTGGCTCCTGCGACTTTGACAGCAGTTTCTGCATTGGCTGCGTGCTGCGTTCTTTGGAAGTAACTGCGTAAAGCCGTGGCCCTGGTGGATATTTTACCATTTTTACCTATATCCCCGCAGTTGCGTCCTTGCTCCTAGTAGTAAGGCCAGGAGCCCCTAGCAGCGTCCTTGCTCCTAGTAGTAAGGCCAGGAGCCCCCCAGTAGCGTCCTTGCTCCTAGTAGTAGGGCTAGGAGCCCCTAGTAGCGTGCTTGCTCCTAGTAGTAAGGCCAGGAGCTCCTAGTAGCGTCCTTGCTCAAGGCCAGGAGCCCCTAGTAGCGTCCTGCCGGGAGCCCCTAGTAGCGTCCTTGCTCCTAGTACTAAGGCCAGGGGCCCCTAGTAGCGTCCTTGCTCCTAGTAGTAAGGCCAGGAGCCCCTAGTAGCGTCCTTGCTCCTAGTACTAAGGCC